CGGAGCTGGTGGAGGCTGTCGAGCTGGCGGATGCGGCCCAACACCGGGATGCTGGGGAGCGAGCGCCGCCGTTTCCCCGGAGGGTGGTCCAGGAGCGGCGCGCGCCGGAGGGCACCCCGCGACCAGTAGGCAGGCCGGCGGCTCCCTCTCCGCGGGATGAGCCCATGCCAACGGAAGTCCCCGCACGGACCTGGCTGGCCGGCTGCATTGTGCACCACGACCTGCCGGTTGGAGCTCCAGAGGTGGAAGTGAAAGTGAATGGAAAGCCGTTCCGGGCCATCCTGGACTCGGGCAGTGCGGTCACTCTGGTCCAGTCGCATGTTCTCGCCCCCCGAACGGAGGGTAAAGCCTTCCTCCCCATAACCTGTGTCCACGGGGATACACGACAAGTTCCCGCTCGCAGGGTGACCATTTCGGCCGCTCCCGGCGCCTGGCCGGTGGAAGTCGGGGTCATGAAGGATCTTCCCGTCCCCGTGCTGATCGGGAGAGACTGGCCAGGGTTTGACCGCCTGCTGGCCACGGCTATGCAGCCTGCCAGCCCAGGAGGGGGCCGCCGAAGAAGGAGGCCCATGACAGGACCTCGTCAGCGGCCCGTGCTTCTGGCCTCGTATAGCGGGAGAGAAGGTGAGTCCCCCTCCCAAAATCCTAATCTCTTCTATGATGTGTTCCAACAGGTGATGGGAGGGGGCTCATTTGGGAAGGAACAACGGGAGGACGACAGGCTGAAGCATGGATGGACCCAGGTCCGGGTCATCGAAGGCAAGGAGGTTCAGCCTGGTCCCCACCTTCTCCCGCATTTCGTCGTGCAAAATGGCCTGCTGTACTGTGTCGCGCAGCGAAGGGGGGAGGAAAAATGTTTGTTGGTGGTGCCACGCACCAAAACGGAGACCGTACTGGAGCTGCCTCACTCCCATCCCTTGGCAGGGCATCTCGGAGCTGGGAACACCATCCAACGGATCCGCGACCGCTTTCACTGGCCGGGCTTGGAGGCCGAAGTGAAGCGGTTCTGCCAAGCCTGCCCGACCTGCCAAGTGACGTCACCCAGGACGCCTCCCCCCAGTCCGCTGATACCGCTGCCCATCATCGAGGTGCCCTTCGAGCGCATCGGGATGGACCTTGTGGGGCCGTTGCCTAAGTCTGCCCGGGGACATGAACACATCCTGGTGATCGTCGATTATGCCACCCGGTACCCTGAGGCAGTGCCCCTCCGAAAAGCCACCGCCAAGGCCATTGCCCAGGAACTCTTCCTGCTCTCCAGCCCAGTCGGCATCCCAGCGGAGATCCTGACCGATCAAGGTACCCCCTTCATGTCCCGGCTAATGGCTGACCTCTGCCGGCTGCTGCGGGTGAAGCAGTTGAGGACCACGGTCTACCATCCCCAGACCGACGGACTGGTCGAACGCTTCAATCAAACGCTAGAGCAGATGTTGAGACGGGTGGTTGCGGAGGATAAACGCGACTGGGACCTGATGCTCCCCTATGTCCTTTACGGGATCCGCGAAGTCCCGCAGGCCTCAACTGGCTTGACCCCCTTCGAGCTCCTCTTTGGCCGGTAACCCCGCGGCCTCGTGGATGTGGCGAAGGAAGCCTGGGAGCAGCAGCCGGCAGCCCATCGCTCTGTCATCGAGCATGTAAAACAGATGAGGGAAAGGATCGACCGGGTCATGCCATTAGTCCGGGAACACCTGACAAAGGCGCAGCAGGCCCAACAGCGCCACTATAACCGGGCAGCCCAGCCACGGGAGTTCCAGCCCGGAGACCGAGTCATGGTCCTAGTCCCCAACGAGGCCGGTGACGTACCAGGTGCGTCAGCCAGGAAGGAGGAGAGCCGAGCAGCTCTACCACAT